ACACCATCCACACCGTCCTGAAAGCTCATTGCTGTGAGCTTGGAGTCCTTGACTTGATGTTCTTCCCCTCCGTTTGTAATGCAAGCGGGTCTGTCCCTTCCTGGCTGACCTCTGCTTCAGCAGATTTGTAGGAACAATGCTTGGGAGTGATGAGTTTTGTCAAGGATGACAGACAGGGAGCCAGGGGAGTGGAGGAGATGCAAGGCCTGGCTGGAGCAACTGGCTTCTCAGTGACTTCAAGGATCTTGTTAGGATCTGGTTGTATGGATGTATCCATAGAATCATAAAGTTGGAAGGGACCATGGAGGTCATTTAGTGACCAGTGCTTTTCAATCTTTTTCACAGATTGTACCACTTTTAATATATGGCAGTGGTTCTCAACCTTTTTAATGCCGTGACCCCCAACCGGTCGTAAGTTGAGGACTACTCAACCGGTCGTAAGTCGAGGACTACTCAACTGGTGTAGCACCGTTTGCAGAATGGGACTTTTGGCGGGATCAGCAGGGCAGAGACAGCCTGGACAATTCCTATTGGCTTTTGAAAGCCAATAGAATTAGACTCTATTCAAGAGAGTGTATTCTATTGGCTTTCAAAAGCCAATAGAATAAAAGGGAGTAGCACAGCTAAGGAAAAGGGGGAAAAAATGGCGGACTGCATTGTTTGGCGACCCCCGTGAAATGGTCGTTCGACCCCAAATGGGGTCCTGACCCACAGGTTGAGAACCACTGATATATGGCAATATTTGAGTACCACCAGTCGCCTAGCAAGGTGTCTGTCAACGCTGCTAACATTGGATGTTCTTGCTTTGACAACATATGGAGATTTTCTTTCTTATGCTTAACTCTTAGAATTAGATGATGCTGGGGGAGGAGGAGGAATGTGATGGGAGTTAGTTAGATATAAAAATATTGTAATAGTGTGTGAACTCAGGGCTTTTGAAATAAGAGATGATAAGAAATGGCGGGTTGGAGTAAAGGAGGGAAAGCCTGCATTTCAAACTAATTGGAGAATGTGATTTATAACTGTTATAATTAGAGGAGGGAATTATGTTTGATACTATGTGCTAAGGGGAGGGGAATCCAGATTTTAGCTTCGCTTATGTACGTGAATAAAGATTCTTTAAGGTAAACAATGCCTCGAAGTTCTTTGAAGAGTTTCATCTGTCGGAACCATGACAGTGTCAAAAACTTGATGACCAAAAAAAAAAGGAAAAAAGGAAAAAAAGTGATAAAGTACAGGTAGTCCTTGACTTACAACAGTTCGCTTAGTGACTGTTTGAAGTTACAAAGGCACTGAAAAAAGTGACTTATGACCATTTTTCACACTTATGACTGTTGTAGCATGGCCTCAGGCTCACATGATTTACATTGGGATGCTTGGCAACTGATTCATATTTATGACGGTCGCCGTGTCCCTGGGTCATGTGATCCCCCTTTGCCATCTTCTGACAAGCAAAGTCAACGGGGAAACCAGATTCACTTAACAACGGTGTTGCCAGTGTAACAACAGCAGAGATTGACTTAACAAATGTGGCGAGAAAAGTCACCAAATGGGACAAAACTCATTTAACAAATTTCTTACTTAACAACATAATTTTTGGGCTAAATTGTGGTCATAGGTTGAGGACCTACACCCACTTACCAAACTTTTAAACTTGTGCCTGTTTCTCTGACATTAATCTTTGCACTGTTCTACCCCCTTCTCTCCCTCTGCTGTCTTTTGTTTCTCTCCCTTTCCCACCAAAACTGCCTCCTTTGATATCCTCTCCTCCCTCTCTCCCAGTATCCTTCTCCTTTTCTCTTCAGTGCAACTCCAGCTCACTCCTCTCCCCAAGGCTTCACGCTGCTTCCGGAAGTGCCAATCAGCTGGAGCCACGCACTGATCCTGGGTGGTCTGCAGAGCCCTGGCAACCCACCCAAGCTTCAGCTGACTCTGCCACAGGCCTCTGCGGTGCTGCCGCCACTTCAGCTCATCCCCCCGCTACACTTTTACACTTCTTTTTAACACTTCTTTTTTTACAGGGCTTTTCAACCCGATGTACGCATACCACCTGCCAGGTGGCAAAGTACCACCAGTGGTATGCGTACCACAGGTTGAAAAGCACTATTCTAGTCCAACCCCTATCCAGGGCAGGAAACCTTATTCTATTCCAGCTATATGGCTATTCAATATTTTCTTGAAAACCTCCAGCGATGGAGCCCCCACAGCAGTGGTGGGATTCAAATAGGTGAACAACCGGTTCTCTGCATGGATGCCGCTTCCGGAAGTCCATTCTGGGCCTGGGCAACAAAAAATTAGCTAGCGGTTCTGCTGAAGTGGTGCAAACTGGCTGAATCCTATTCTATTCTATTCCATTCTATTCCATTCCATTCCATTCCATATTTTCTATTCCATTCCATATTTTCTATTCTGTTCTGTTCCGTTCCATTCCATTCCATATTTTCTATTCTATTCCATATTTTCTATTCTATTCTATTCTATTCTATTCTATTCTATTCTATTCTATTCTATACTCTACTCTACTCTATTCCATTCTATATTTTCTATTATATTCCATATTTTCTATTCTATTCTGTTCTGTTCTGTTCCATTCTACTCTACTCTGCTCTACTCTACTCTACTCTGCTCTGCTCTGTTCTGCTCTGCTCTATTCCATTCAATATTTTCTATTCTATTCTATTCTATTCTATTCTATTCTATTCTATTCTATTCTATTCTACTGCTCAGACTTCCCCGACTGAACATCAGCCAGTGTCAGCCCCAGAGCCTCCTGGCCCCAACCGCAGAGTTGTCTCCCTTCCAGCTCTCACCTATATTCTTGACATCTTCTTCACCCCCTCCATTTTCCCTCCTCCCCCCACTTTTGATTAAAGCCTTCTGGTGTTTCTCACGATCCCTCCTGGCTCCCATCTCTCTGTATTCCAGAAATCCATTTTCAAAGGAAATAGTTCTCTGTCACTGGAAGAGATTTCATCACCTCTTCTGCCCCCTCAGCTTTCCACACCGTTCATCAACAGATTAATAAAGAGCCAGGCTGGCTGAAGCCTTCAGGGTTCCACTTCCTTTACCCCCCCCCCTTCGTTTCTCCAGGTTTGATCCACAACAGGATGCTGCCCCTTGGCCCACAAGCATCTATTTTCTTTACTAGTCTCTGGGGAAGGAGATTGTTCAATAGTTTTGGGAATCCCGAATAAATTGTACCCCAGTGCTTTCTTTGATTTCTTTCCTCTGTTAACTCTTTTCTAGGCCAAAGTAATTTTCATACTTCCCACTGGGTAGTTATGCAGGCCAAGGACCATCGGTTCTGTCTCCTAAATCCTGACATCATGTGGGGTGGGTCCAATGGTGGGATTCAGCCAGTTTGCACCACTTCGGCAGAACCGGTAGCTAATTTTTGTTGCCGAGGCCCAGAATGGATTTCCAGAAGCAGCATCCACACAGAGAACTGGTTGTTCACCTATTTGAATCCCACCACTGGGTGGGTCTCTTCTGCAAAGAGTCCAAGGTTTTACACCTGGGCAGGAAAAATCAAAGCTACAAGTACAGATTAGATGAAACCTGAGTCAAAAACAGTAATTGTGAGAGGGACCTTGGCGTCCTAGCGGATGATCCCTTAAACGTGAGCCAGCAGTGTGTGGCAGCAGCCAAAAAAGCGAATACAATCCTTTGTTGTATAAACATAGAATCAAAATCATGTGAAGTATTAGTACCGCTTTATAAATCCCTAGTTAAGGCCACACCTGGAATACGGCATCCAGTTTTGGTCACCACATTACAAAAAAGATGTTGAGACTTTGGGAAAAGTGCAAAGAAGAGCAACTAAGATGATTAAAGGCCTGGAGGATAAAACATATGAAGAACGGTTGCAGGAATTGGGTATGGCCAGTTTAGAGAAAAGAAGGACTGGGGGGGGACATGATAGCAGTCTTCCAGTATTTGAGGGGCTACCACAAAGGGGAGGGGGGTCTACTTATTTCCCAAAGAACCAGAAGGCAAGAAACAATGGATGGAAATTAACCAAGGAGAGAAGCAACCTGGAACTAAGGAGAAACTTCCTAACAATGAGAACAATTAATCAGTGGAACAGCTTGCCTTCAGACATTATGGCTGCTCCATCACTGGAGGTCTCTAAGAGACTGGACAGCCACTTGTCTGGAATGGTATAGGGCAGTGTTTCCCAAACTTGACAATTTTAAGGCATGTGGACTTCAACTCCCAGAATTCCACAGCCAGCGTTGCTGGCTGTGGAATTCTGGGAGTTGAAGTCCTCATGCCTTAAAATTGTCAAGTTTGGGAAACACTGGTATAGGTTGGACTAGAGCAGGAGGTTGGACTAGAGCAGGAGGTTGGACTAGAAGACCTCCAAGGTCCCTTCCAACTCTATTCTGATTGATTGATTGATTGATTGATCCAAATTATGGTCTAGTTCTGATTCTTCTACTATGTTCAGTGGTGCTTTCTAAATCAGAGGTCCCCAACCTTTTGGGCACCAGGAACCGGTTACATGGAGAGAGGTTTTTCTGTGGACCGGAGGGGATGTGGTTTTGTGTGCTGCCTGTACCCTGCAAATGGGGCTTTCGTTGTTTGTGTGGACCAGTTGCTGGCATACCACGGCCCGGTACTTGTCCATGGACTGGGGGTTGGGGACCCCTGTTCTAAATCATAAGCAGTAATCAAGTCCTGAGTGTTCTCCTCACCAGTTGGACCTTCCCCTCCGAATCATCCCAACCTCTCAAGAAGCAGTGAATAGAAGCTCCTCAGAGGGAGATCCAACCTGGAAATAAGGAGGAATTTCCTGACAGTGAGAACAATTAACCAATGGAACAGCTTGCCTTCCTGAGTTATGGTGCTCCATTGGGATGCAATAAGGTCTCCTACTTGAGCAGAGGTTTGGATGAAGACCTCCAAGGTCCCTTCCAGCTCTTTGACTGTATGATTCTGTGATTCTATGACCTCCAGGATGCTACACCTTCAGGCTATCACAGCTATTTTTCCATTACCTGTTGGACATGCCTGGATGCAGCATTCTGATATTTCCAACTACAATCATTTGCTACATGTTCATGAAACCGTGGGCATCTCTCGTGGAGCAGCCTGGCTGGATGGCATTCCCTGAGGTCAACTCGAAGCTCCCCGCCATCTCCAATCAGCTCCTAAATGGAAAAGATATAAGAGAATCCAATTAGCTTCCTGCTGGTGAAGCTTCATCTTTTTATTCTTTCAATCAAAGATCTGATGAGCCCTCAGCGACAAAACAACCATTTTTGATTATCATCTTTCAAGGCAGAGCTGTAGACCCAAAACAGTGTCAAGAATCTTCCTCATCCAGGCTGTAGAGACTTTTCTGGGGGGGGGGTCTCTGGACATTCCTAGAGTCCACATTTTGATACCTCAACTTTGCCAGCTCTAAGATGGATGGACACAGCTGACTGGGGAATTCTGGGAGTTAAAGTCCACAAACATTAGAGTGGTTGAGGTCGAGAAATATGTTCAAAGCACCTGAAGACAGGACAAGAAACAATGGATGGAAATTAATCCAGGAGAGAAGCAACCAAGAACTAAGGAAAAATTTCCTGACAGTGAGAACAATTAATCAGTGGAACAGCTTGTCTTCAGGAGTGGTGGGTGCTCCATCACTAGAGGTTTTCGAGAAGAGATTGGATAGCCATTTGCATGAAATGGTGTAGGATTTCTTGCATGAACTAGGGGTTGGACTAGAAGACCTCCAAGATCCCTTCCAACTGCGTTATTCTGTTCTATTATTCTGCTTTTCTAAGAGCTCCTGCCACAGGCAAGGAGTTGGACTAGAAGACCTCCAAGGTTCCTTCCATTTTCTGTTTTCTGTTCCATTTTCCTTCAGCCATTCTTACATATGCTGGCAAAGATGATAAGCACCATCTGCATGTTTGCTTTAATGGCCCATCCTCTGTGTAAAAGCTGCTTCTGTTGAAAGGCTTCCAGGAAACCTTGTGACTTTTAATTTTGGGAAGTGTGCCTTGCTATTCCCAGGAAATTCCCTGGCCCCAATTTCTTTTTTCCTTTTTTTTTCTAGAGAAGGTGCAGACCTGCTAGAGAACTTACTGGCTAGACCCCCCCAGCCCTGTCTGGCTTGCTATGTGAACGCACGTAGCATATCGGATGACCTCTGAAACAATCCAGCACAGACAACCTTCCTCCATACAAATCAGGGTTTTGTTTTGTTTTTTTTCAGATTTGCTCCAGGGACTGTTTTCTGAGCCTCCTGCATCTGAAATGAACTGCTTATCTAAAGGCCAAACGCAACTGTCATTTTGGGTGGCTAACCATGGTGCAGAAATGGGCTGCAACAATCCGAACATCCTCCAGCAACCCAAAAGGGTTTTTTTTTTCAAGAAGCAACTGGACTTTCTTTGTTTTTCCTTGAAGATATTTTGCTTCTTCAGGTCTTCTTCAGTCGGAACTGAAGGAGAATTTCCTGATAGTGAGAACAATCAGTGGAACAGCTTGCCTCCAGAAGTTGTGGGTGCTCCATCACTGGAGGCTTTCAAGAACTGATTAGACTGACATTTGTCTGAAATGGTACAGAGTCTCATGCTTGAGAAGGAGGTTGGGATAGAAAACCTCAAAGATCCATTCCAACTCTTTTATTCTGTTATTCTGAGAAGGAAAAACAAAGAAAGTCCAGTTGCCTCTTGAAAAACCATCTTTGGGACATCCATGACTTAGATGACCGAGAATCTCCATAAACATCCTCTAGTCTAGCAACAAATAACAGAGTTGGAAGGGACCTTGGAGGTCTTCTAGTTTAATGCCCTGCTCAAGCAAGATGAGTTGTGGAGTTCCCTTCTTTATAGGATGGACATCTTCAAACCCTTGAAGGGCTGTCAGAAGAAAGAGGGGAGTCAACCTATTCTCCAAAGCACCTGAATGCAAGACAAGAAGCAACAGATGGAAACTAATCAAGAAGAGAAGCAACCTGGAACTAAGGAGAAATTTCCTGACAGTGAGAACAATCAACTAGTGGAACAGCTTGCCTCCAGAAGTTGTGGGTGCTCCACCACTCAAGGGTTTCAAGAAGAGATTGCACAACCATTTGTCTGGGATGAAATAAGGACTGCAGGATGCAATCTGGGTCCGTCACTGGGACCAGAGGTTTAGTCTTCCAAGCTTTTGAACTTGTGCTGGAGCCCATCCTCAGGAACTAGAAAGAGTACAGAGAAGAGCAACAAAGATGATTAGGGGACTGGAGGCTAAAACATAAGGAACGGTTGCTGGAATTGGGTATGTCTAGTTTAATGAAGAGAAGGATGAGAGGGGACATGATAGCAGCCTTCCAATATCTCAGGGGCTGCCACAAAGAAGAGGGAGTCAAGCTATTCTCCAAAGCACCTGAAGGCAGGAAAAGAAGCAACGGATGGAAACTAATCAAGGAAAGAAGCAACCTAGAACTAAGGAGAAACTTCCTGACAGTTAGAACAATTGACCAGAGGAACAACCTGCCTCCAGAAGCAGTGAATGCGCCAACACTGGAAGTTTTTAAGAAGAGACTGGACAGCCATTTGTCCAAAATGGTATAGGGCAGTGGTTCTCAACCTGTGGGTCGGGACCCCATTTGGGGTCAAACGACCATTTCACGGGGGTCGCCAAACAACGCAGTCCGCCATTTTTTTCCCCTTTTCCTTAGCTGTGCTACTCCCTTTTATTCTATTGGCTTTTGAAAAGCCAATAGAATAGACTCTCTTGAATAGAGTCTAATTCTATTGGCTTTCAAAAGCCAATAGGAATTGTCCCGGCTGTCTCTGCCCTGCTGAGCCCACCAAAAGTCCCATTCTGCAAACGGTGCTGCACCAGTTGAGTAGTCCTCGACTTACGACCGGTTGAGTAGTCCTCGACTTACAACCGGTTGGAGGTCGCGGTATTAAAAAGGTTGAGAACCACTGGTATAGGGTTTCCTGCCTGAGCAGGGGGTTTGACTAGTTGATCTCCAAGGTCCCTTCCAACTTTATCATTATTATTATTATTATTATTATTCCATTCCAATGGATGGAAACTAAGCAAGGGGCTGCCACAAAGAAGAGGGAGTCAAGCTATTCTCCAAAGCACCTGAAGGCAGGAAAAGAAGCAACGGATGGAAACTAATCAAGGAAAGAAGCAACCTAGAACTAAGGAGAAACTTCCTGACAGAACAATTGACCAGAGGAACAACCTGCCTCCAGAAGCAGTGAATGCTCCAACACTGGACGTTTTAAAGAAGAAACTGGACAGCCATTTGTCCGAAATGGTATAGGGTTTCCTGCCTGAGCAGGGGGTTGGACTGGATGACCTCCAAGATCCCTTCCAACTTTATTATTATTATTATTATGGATCATCGCACAGTCAGCCAGATGTTCAGACTGGATTTGGCATTTTGTCTACCTATTGAGTCCTTACCCAGGACCTGGGATAGGCAGATGTGGATGTTTGATAGTATTACAGATATCGTCGCAGGATGGAAGCAGTTCCTAGTAAGGCCGCCTTTTGCAATTGACTAATAGCGAATTTGTCAATGCCAATGGTGTTCAAGTGGTTCTCCAGTTGTTTTGGAATTGCACCCAAGGAGCCTATGACTATTGGTACTACCCTTGCTTGCTTTTGCCACAGTCTTTCTATTTCTATTTGTAGGTCTTTGTATTTTGTTATCTTCTTCAGTTCTTTCTCATCTATTCTGCTGTCTCCAGGCACTGCCACGTCCACTATCCAGACTTTTTTGTCTTTCTTATCGACAATTGTTAAGTCTGGGTGTTATGTTGCAGGTGCTTGTCTGTTTGAATTCTGAAGTCCCAGAGCAGTTTAATTTTATCATTTTCTATGACTTTCTCTATTTTATGATCCCACCAGTTTTGGCTTACAGGCAAATGATATTTTTTGCAGATCTTCCAATGCACCATTGTTGCTACTTTGTCATGCCGCTGCTTGTAGTCAGTCTGTGCAGTCTTCTTGCAACAGCTTACCAGGTGGTCCACTGTTTCTTCAGCTTCTTTGCATAGGCGGCACTTACTGTCTGTTGCTGTCTTCTCAATTTTGACTTTATAGGCATTTGTCCTTAAGGCTTGGTCTTGTGCAGCCAGAATTAGTCCCTCGGTCTCTTTCTTCAATTTTCCTGCTCTTAGCCATTGCCAGGTCTTGTTATTATCTGCTTTTCCAGCTATTTTTTTCATGTATTGGCCATGTAGTGCTTTGTCTTCCCATGCCTCTATTCTGTTCTTCATTTATTTATTTATTTTTTATTATTATTATTATTATTTCTCTCTTGTCACACATTCTGTGTCACACATTCTGTTGAGAAAATCCCTGAAGATGGGCTCCAGTACAAGTCCAAAAGCTCAGAAGATTAAATCTTTGGTCTCAGTGACCCACCCAGATTGGTTCCTGCAAAATTATCCTGGGATATTTGCCAGGATACTTGCCTTACATTTGCTGTATATTTGTCTTCATTCCGAATAAGGACTCCTTCCTTGGGCAGATGGGTGGACACTAGAAGACCTCCAAGGTTCCTTTCAGCCCTAGGAATCTATGATTCTATGTCCCTTACCATCTTATTGATGAACCTGGGAAGGGCAGAAGAACAACCTTCTCCTCCTTTTGTGGTCAAGGAAAAGATGATCCCAGAGCATTCATGATGTCCAGGAGCTGGTATTAAGTACTACTTTGGATACTTCTTGGGCACTTCTGGAGATAAATGCAGTGATGCATTCTGGCTGGGGAATTCTGAGAGTTGAAGTCAACCCATCTTAAAGCTGCCACCCTTAAGAAACATTGAACTAAATCTCCAAATGTTGAGGACACCAACCAGCAGAATTCTGGGAGTTGATGCCCAGACATGCTGGCTGGGGAAATCTGATTGTGTGAAGTCCACCCATCTTAAAGTTGCCAAGCTTAAGAAACCTAGCTTAAGAGTTGCCAGGATGGTTTTGACCAATTGTCCAATGCCCATCAGCCAGGAGAAGACTCTCTCTCTTGTCCCAAAAGAAGCATTTCTACAAATAACTAGGATGGAAGACGCAATGCAACCCGCCTGATTCCTTTTCCAACCTTCCTTTAATTCAAAAAGATTTTTAAATAAAGTAGGTGAGCAGGATGCCCTGTGGGTGTCCTGGTGAGCTGCACTTCTTAGAAGTGAATTGTAATAGGTGTA